CATAAGAACGTGGGTTTCCACCCTGTGAGGGACTTAAGCACCTGGCCCTTAGGGAAGGAGGGGTCCCAGGTCTGCTGTGGAGTGCAGCAGCGGGGAGGCGTGGCTCGGCTGGAGGTGGGGTTGGCAGCATCTGGCACAGAACGGCCAGAGAGACCTCTGGGACGGGCCTTGGGTCCCTAGGAACTTTGTGGACTTGGCGGCAGCTGCTCTGAGAGGTGAGCTGGCTGATTTCTCTGAAGGGACCTTGAACCTTGTGTATGGGTATCGGGCAGAATTTTAATATCTCAATCAAACCCTTTGGTGGACAGCAGACACAGAATGGAAATGTCCCTTCTCCGAGACAAAGTGGGCAGAAGAGGGTCAGGGCTGGCGTGGCTCTGGCTGCAGCCTTGAAGGACCTGTGCTGGACAGAGGACGCGGGCGTTGCGCAGGGTCTCGGGCCTCAGCTGGTGGTCAGCAGTGCCGAGCAGACCTGGTCTGTACCCTCAGGCACTGCAGGTGGACCGGGCAGTCTCAACGCATGACGAGTCCCGCTGGGTGCTGAGTCCAGGTACTGGGGGAACTGCTGTGGTCTGACAGGCACAGGGCACTCACGGTGGGAGTTGGGGGCTGAGAAAGGCCTCCTCTGCTGCATGTCATTCTGCAAACGTCGTAGAATGCATGAGTGCAAACCCGCGTGGTGCAGCCCTCCATGCCTAGCCCATGTGGAGATGTGTGCGCATGTGTGTGAACATATGTGTGAACATATGTGTGTATAATTTACATGTGTGGGAGTGCATGTGTTTATGTGAGTGTGTGCATATACGTATGTGTGTGTCTGTATATATGTGTGTATAATTGTGCATGTGTGAATGTATGTGTATATGTCAGTGTATGTGTGTTAGTGTATGTGTGAGTGTATGTGTGTGTAAATGTGTATGTGTGTACATGTATATGAGTGTGCATATTTGTGCATGTGTATGTTTAAGTGTATGTGTATAGACATGCATGTAAGTGTATGTGTGTATATGAGAATATATGTGTGTGCGTGTGTATATACATGTGTGTATATGTGAATGTATTTTATGTGTGTAAGTATACATGTGTATGTAAATGTATTATGTGCATGTGTGTATATTTGAGTGTATTTGTGTATGTGCCGTGTGTGTATGTGTGTGAGTATATATGTGTGTATGTGAATGTATTGTGTGCATGTGTATATGTGTGTGTCCTTGTAGTGTGTTTGTATGTATATATGTGTATGTGTGTAAGCGTATGTGTGTATATGTATATGTGAGTGTATTTGTGAGTGTATGTGTGTGTGTAGATGGTGGAGCCTAATGCCTCTAGGACCATGCTGAACAAGAGAGCAGGATTAAATTAAACACAAGAGAAACTGATGTCATCAAGAGTGGTAGTATGAGACTACGACCAGTATAGATATCTGGCACATTCTCTGAAGTAACAATAAAAAATGTAGCATAGTGAACACACCCCCTGTACCACGGTTTTCATCATCACCTGTGCATGACTGTAGCATAGTGAACACACCCTATACCATGGTTGTTTATCTCATTAGCTGTGTGTGACTGTAGCATAGTGAACACACTCTGTACCATGGTTGCTTATCATCATTATCTGTGTATGACTGTAGCATAGTGAACACGTTCCTAGTACCATGGTTGTTTATCATCATTACCTGTGCGTGAGTGTAGCATAGTGATCACACACCCTGTACCATGGTTGTTTATCATCATTACCTGTGCGTGAGTGTAGCATAGTGATCACACACCCTGTACCATGGTTGTTTATCATTAGCTGTGTGTGACTGTAGCATAGTGATCACACACCCTGTACCATGGTTGTTTATCATTAGCTGTGTGTGACTGTAGCATAGTGATCACACACCCTGTACCATGGTTGTTTATCATCATTACCTGTGCGTGAGTGTAGCATATTGAACACACATCCTGTACCATGGTTGTTTATCATTAGCTGTGTGTGACTGTAGCATAGTGAACACACCCTGTACCACGGTTGTTTATCATTAGCTGTGTGTGACTGTAGCATAGTGATCACACACCCTGTACCACGGTTGTTTATCATTAGCTGTGTGTGACTGTAGCATAGCGAACACACACCCTGTACCACGGTTGTTTATCATTAGCTGTGTGTGACTGTAGCATAGTGATCACACACCCTGTACCACGGTTGTTTATCATTAGCTGTGTTGACTGTAGCATAGTGATCACACACCCTGTACCACGGTTGTTTAGCATTAGCTGTGTGTGACTGTAGCATAGTGATCACACACCCTGTACCATGGTTGTTTATCAGTAGCTGTGTTGACTGTAGCATAGTGATCACACACCCTGTACCACGGTTGTTTATCATTAGCTGCGTTGACTGTAGCATAGTGATCACACACCCTGTACCATGGTTGTTTATCATTAGCTGTGTGTGACTGTAGCATAGTGATCACACACCCTGTACCACGGTTGTAAATATTTGATATGCATATTTATATTTGATATGGATATTGAAGGCACTGGTGCATTGAGCAACGTGAACTGAGGTCAGGATGGCTTTACACTGACTCATCCGTAGACGTCACTAGAGCCTGTGACGTTCTTCTCCTGGCCTTTGCCGACCTGCTTCCCCTCCCTGCCGCCAGCTCTGTTCTCACAACGTTAGCCCCAGCCGTGGAATCGAAAGCCCGGGGCTGCTTTCCCCAGGGGCTGCGCTGAGTGTTGAGGGCCAGAGCAGGGTGAGCGTTGTAACCAAGTGGGAAGGTAGGGGATGGTTTTATTTGCAATGGTGGTCTCAGCCCTGTGTACTTGTGGGGATTCCCAGGGCAGTGGTGCCAGTAGGGCCTGGCCACCTCTTCCTGAGCTTGCATTGTTCAGTAGTTGGGTCTTGTCCTCTTCAACGTGACGTCTGTCGTGTTCTCCAGGCTCTTGGGGGCGTTGCAGAGGGTAGGAGTGTGTGAACTCTTGTGTTACCACTTTGTGTTTCGCACTGATGGAGGTTGTTCTAAAAGGAGAAAGGACAGCGAATGGAAGGCCCGATGGTGGAGAAAGAGACCAGATGTCAGTGATCTTGAAAAGGGGCAGGGATTGGAATTTCTTTTTTGAAAGATTTTATTTGAGGGGTAGAGTTACAGACAGAAGGAGAGACAGAGAGAGAGGTTCTTCCCAGCTGCTGGTTCACTCCCCAGATGGCTGCAACAGCCAGAGCTGCGCTGATCCGAAGCCAGGAGCCAGCAGCTTCTTCCGGGTCTCCCATGCGGTTGCAGGGGCCCAAGCACTTGGGCCATCTTCTACTGCTTTCCCAGGCCATAGCAGATCCAGGCCATAGCTGGATCAGAAGAGGTGCAGCAGGGACTCAAACTGGCACCCGTGCGGGGTGCCAGCACAGCACCCACTGGGCCACAGCGCCGGCCCCAGGATTGGAATTTAAGAGAAAATGCACAAGTCTGAGGGAGGAGCATTGATGGGGTTTGAACTAGAAACTGACCTGGAGCTGAAGTTTGATGCAGATGTTGATTAAGAAGGAAGGCTTAGGAGTGGGTGTCCTGCACCTGTGTCCCTTGCGATGTGCTTGTATCAGAATGCCCGTGTTGGGCCCCAGCTCCGCTGCCCAGCCAGCTTCAGGCTAATGCGGGGGGAGGAGGCAGTGACGGCTCAGGTACTTGGGTCCCTGCCCCTCATGTGGGAGACCCAGACTGAGCTCCTGGCTGGTTCCTGGCTCAGCCTGGCACAGCCACGCGGTTGTAGGCATTGAGGGAGTGAACCAACAGATGGGTCTGGGCCTCTCTCTCTCTCTCTCTCTCTCTCTCTCTCTCTCTCTCAATATAATAACTATATTTTTAAAAAACTTTTTAAAGATAAATTAAAACCAAGGTTTGGATTGTAGAGTATTTAGAAACCAACCTATTGAAGACAAAGAATTGTTAGGAAAAAAGAGAAACAATTTATTGACTGAAGTTAACATTTGGTGCTGATGTCTGTCCAGTTTCTCATGCCCAGTGCCAGCTGACCTGACAGGTAGGGGAGACGGCTCTGCTCAGCCAGCCCAGGGTCTGTGCACGGCCTTCCCGTTCTGTCTGCACTGGGATGCCTAATAGAAATATATTGCAGGGGCGCCGCGGCTCACTAGGCTAATCCTCCGCCTTGCGGCGCTGGCACACCGGGTTCTAGTCCCGGTCGGGGCGCCGGATTCTGTCCCGGTTGCCCCTCTTCCAGGCCAGCCCTCTGCTGTGGCCAGGGAGTGCAGTGGAGGATGGCCCAGGTGCTTGGGCCCTGCACCCCATGGGAGACCAGGAGAAGCACCTGGCTCCTGCCTTCGGATCAGTGCGGTGCGCCGGTCGCAGTGCGCCAGCCACGGCGGCCATTGGAGGGTGAACCAACGGCAAAGGAAGACCTTTCTCTCTGTCTCTCTCTCACTGTCCACTCTGCCTGTCAAAAAATAAAAAAAAAAAAAGAAAAAAAAAAGAAATATATTGCAGGACACGTGTGTGATTTTCTTTCTTTTTTTTTAAGATTACTTTACTTATTTGAGACGTGGAATTACAAAAAGAGAGAGAAAGAGACAGAGAGAGAAAGATCTTCCATGTGCTGGTTCATTCCACAAATGGCTCCAGCCAGGAGCCAGGTGCTTATTCCAGGTCTCCCATGCGGGTGCAGGGGCCCAAGCACTTGGGCCATCCTCCACTGCCTTCCCAGGTGCATTAGCAGGGAGCTGGATCATAAGTGGGGCAGCCGGGATAGAACCAGTGTCCTTATAGGATGCTGGTGTTGCAGGCTGTGGCTTAACCTGCTGTGCCACAATGCCTACCCCAGCACACATGTGATTTTCAATGTTCTTGTAGCCACATTTAAAGGGAAACAGATACAGATACAGCTAAGTTTAACGGTACATTTTATTTTTCTTTCTTTCGGTACATGTTTCTCTGTTTTCTCATGTTAGATCTGGTAGCACAGGCAGAGTTAGACAGTGAGAGAGAGAGACAAAGAGAAAGGTCTTCCTTCCGTTGGTTCACCCCCCCAAATGGCTGCCATGGCCGCTGCACTGCGCCAATCTGAAGCCAGGAGCCAGGTGCTTCTCCTGGTCTCCCATGGGGTGCAGGGCCAAGCACTTGGGCCATCCTCCACTGCCTTCCCGGGCCACAGCAGAGAGCTGGCCTGGAAGAGGGGCGACCGGGACAGAATCCAGCGCCCCGACTGGGACTAGAACCCGGTGTGCCGGCGCCGCAGGTGGAGGATTAGCCTAGTGAGCCGCAGCGCTGGCCTGTACAGTTTCTGACCCCGTTACTGTGGTCTGCAAGTCCGTGCTCCCCCAGCTTCATGTGCTGGAATCAAGTCGCCAAGGTGAGGAAGGCAGTGTATGCTGGGGCTGTTGGGCGGTCACTAGGTCATGGACGTGGGGGCCCGAGGAGGGACAAGAGCTGGCCTGTCCCTTTCTCTGCCCGAGGACACGGCAAAGAGGCTTCAAACACCCAATCTGCAGTGCCTTGGTGCAGAACTCCCAGCCTGCAGCACTGCGGGAAATAAATTTCTGGTGTTCCCGAGCCAGCAAGTCAATGGCATTTTGTTGAAGCAGCCCAAATAGACGAAGATGCCCGTATACCCCGAATGTTATCTCAGCAGGCAATCAATATAAAAAATGTTAACATTCCCCCTTCTTTTCTTTTACGAAGTCTTCAGAGTCCAGTGTGTATTGGATACTCACAGGTCAAGCCACATGCCACATTTCCAACAGAAGTGGCTCCTGCATGTGTAGTTCTGGTAAAATCTATGACCAAAGTGGGCTCACGTAGTTCCCACCAGACCTCGGTGTTTGTGGTGGGTTTTTAATTGAGTTTCTAGATTGAGGACCTGGACTTGGTGTTCTCGTTGTAGCCTAGGAGTCAGTGGCTCCTGTGGAATCGTGGTTGACCAGGCTTAGGTGTGGCCTTCACACAGATAAGACGGGGTGGACATAAGGTGGACATAAGGTGGTCTGTGTGTCTAGAAATGTGAGAGAAAGAACAGGAAACAGAAATGTGAGAGCAAGAACAGGAAACATGCAAGGGCTGGGGAAAAATGAGAAGAGGGTGCTAGGGGTACAAAGACAGGCAGGAGACACAGTGCGGCTACCGATCTTCGCCCATTGTATCCCATGGTCCTGTCTACAGGGCGTCTGGGACAACTCACCCTGAGCAAGAAATACCACTGCTAGACTGCGACATAAGTTCTCTGTCACTGAAATGGTCACAGGGTTGAAAATTGGGCACTTAATGGTCCCGATGCCATGGAGGATTTGGAGCAGGTAAACAGAGCTGACCTTGGTGTCACCTGACCAAGGACCATCCCAGAGAAGCGTTCCTGTGGTCCCTGTGGGTTTAACATCAAAAGTGACTGAGAAAAATGAAATCTATGTACTGTCCCTGATTAGGAAAAAAGATGATATGGGATGATACTTCCAACAGTTCATGGGAAGTAGAATTTTTAAAAGTTATATTGATGCAAAAACAAATTTCTTACTCTTGCATTCAAGGACTCTCCAAAAAGTTCATGGCCAATACATGTAATGAAAAAAAAAAAACTATGCATGATTTCATAAATTTCTGCACCAAAATATACTTTTAATTCCATTTCCCATGATCCCTGAGAAGCACCCTCGTTTTGCAGGAAGAGAAGAGGAGTTTCAGAGACGAAAACCACAATAGCATGCAGCAGGGAGAGCCCATCACTCCACACCCTACCGAGGTTGTTTTACACCCTTGGAAGCAGGAGGACGGAGGGGGACCGCTCAGGAGGATGGGTGTCCTCCTGGGTTCAGGGCAGCTCTGGGTGGTCAGTGGGAGTGGGAGCTGTGAACTTGACCTTGGATGAGGCAAGTTCCGCAGAGAACCAAGGAAGGAAGCGTGTCCAGGCTGCAGAGAAAGCCTGTGCAACAGGAAGGTCACTCAGGATGCAGCTGTGGCGCTGGGGACCCGCTGGACTCCACGGCTGCCGTGAGCCACGGCCCCAACAGCGAAAGCCCCCCCCCCCTCATCTCGAAGACTCAGCAGCGTTCTGGTTCTGCCTCTACTTACCTTGTTGTTGTAACTTGCTAACAAACCCTCCCCATGTGTGTGGAATTCGTTCTCCTCCAAGAGTCAGGGTTGGATTGGTCCGGCCAGCCAGCTGGCCCTGGGATGGAGCAGCCTGGACATACCTGGCCTGCTCCCAGGCCGTGGAGTTAGGAGCTGATTCCTAGCCAGGACAGCAGGGCCCTGGGGCACCCTGTCTCGGTCCTGGAGGACCAGTGGTTCAATCAGAAGGGAGCTCGGGGCAAGGCAGATGTTAAGGGAGTCGTGCGCTTCTTGGTGGGATCAAGTCTGTAATGTACAGGATGGTGTAGAATTAGACTGAGCTTAGATCCGTAGACTCTGCCCAGACACGGGAGGGGGAAAAGGTCTCAGCGGTAAAAAGATAGATAAAATGGACACAGTTTTATTACCTACAGGATTCTGTCTTTAGTCACACGTCCCTCCCTATCTCCACTTGTTCTTCGGTATTCAATGAAGATCTAAAAAGTGGGCGTTTGATTCTCATTTCATCCATCCGCTAAGACACATCAATAATTCAGAAGCCTGTAACTGGTTGTCAGGCAAACCAAGTGCAAGACTATTTACACAACATCCGGGGTAAAGCAAAAGACCTACGAGAGGACTGGAAGGAAAAATGAACGCGAGGGAGCCCCGCTGAGGCTGGGAGAGACGCGTATCGTGCAGCGAGTTTACGAGTCACGAACCTGCTCTGTCCCACGCGTCCGTGTTGGGTTGCAAAGACGAGAGGATCTGGGTAAATTCCCAAAGAGAAAGCCTTGGCACCTGTGGCCGGCTTTTTAAACGAGACATTAAGGAATCCCGACCAGGGCTGCCATCAGTCCCCTTGACTGAATAGATAGGAAATGATGCATTCTTAGAAGATGCCTTTTTATAGATGCGGACTTGACATGGCAGGATTTGGAGCACAATGGCACATTGAGTATTTGAGGACGGCTTCCTGCGGCCCTGCTATTTTTAGATGTTTGCTGCTTGCTGCTTCCTTAGGCCTGCCCAGCCGGCCCCTCAGCATTCTCCATGCCACTCCGTGCGCCCGCTCCCCCCCTCGCTCCTTCCCCTCTCGTGACCTTTGTGATTTCCAGATCCTGCTCCTCTGCCCAGTGTTCCCGTCCCAGAGACAAAGACCTATTTGCAGCTGTCCGACGCTCACAGAGGGTCTGTAAACAGGGGATGCAAGTTCACGGTGATCCTCTGATCCGGGCTTTCTTCGCCGATCAAACAAAGTCCTTGGAATCTGATTCAGGATGGGATGGAAATGTTTAGAGCTTCTATTTCGGGGTTGCACGGAGAAAAGCGAAGTCTTCCTGCACAGGAGCCGATGCTTGTTCCAAGCGCCTAACTCTGCAGCTCATACCCCTGAGCCGTCTCCAGCAGTCACACAAGCGGGTCTTGAACCGGTGGAAAGCCAGGACGACCGCGCCCCGCTCCTGGTCCAGGGCCCGTGATGGACCGTAACCCGGTTCCCTTTGCTCTCGTCTTTCTGCACTCGCTGTGACTTTGCACCTTCTGCACACACAGGTTGAGGTGTTGGTCATCAGAGGCGAGCGGGCGCCTCCCACGAGCTCTAGTCTGGCCACTGGTAGAAAAAAAATCACACAAACAAGACTTGAAGTACGGCAAAGACAGGACATAGGGTTGAGCTGCTTTTTGCTGTCTCTGTGAGACACATCTTGTTTGCATCACGAGAGCGTGCAGGGGCTCCTTGTAGTAGGTTGCGAGCCTTATATGTTGGGTTTATAGCCCTTGGTGAGTAAAGATACAAAGGGTTGGACACAGCCCCGTGCCCACCCTGGTTTTCATTTTTTACATCCCTCGAGGTGTTTGGAAGTTGGAAGAAAATTCAGAAGCTGCCCACCCTCCCTCCACAGATGAAGTTTCTAAGGGGCAGGCATTTGGTGCAGGGGTTACTGGGACGCCTGCATCCCGTATCACAGTGCGCGGGTTCAAGTCCCAGCTCCGCTCCCAATTCCAGCTCCCTGCTAATGCACACCCTGGGAGGCAGCACTGGCAGCTCCAGCGCTTGGGTCCCTTCCCCCCACCGGGGAGACCCAGATGGAGCTCCGGGCTCCTGGCTTCAGCACAGCCCACCCCAGATGTTGCAGACATGCGGAGAATGGACCCGTGGGTGGGAGACCCCTCATTGTCTCTCTGCCTTTCAAGCAAGCAAAAATGATTTTTTAAGATTCTTTTTAGATTTTATGAGGTAGATGAAGGCATTCTCTCTTTGGAGAATTCTTTCCCAAAAGTGGAAGGGGCAAGAAGTTCCAAGACAGAAAAGCATCCAACAGAGAGCTGCCGGGAAAATCGTGGGTGTTTCTAGAAGGGGCCGAGGGCTGTCCCTACCTTCAGTGTTGTGTGCTGGTGCTTGCAACTCTGTGTACCTGGCCATGACTCAGCATGTACCTGACCATGACTCAGGGAGCGTGGACGTGACCATGACTCAGCATGGACCTGACCATGACTCAGCATGTACCTGACCATGACTCAGGGAGTGTGCACCTGACCATGACTCAGCATGTACCTGACCACGACTCAGGGTGTGTGAACCTGACCATGACTCAGGGATCGTGTCTGACAACATCCCAGTGGGGCCAGTGCTGTGGCACAGCGGGTTAACACCCTGGCCTGAAGTGCTGGCATCCCATATGGGTGCTGGTTCGAGTCCTGGCTGCTCCACTTCCCATCTAGCTCTCTGCTGTGGCCTTGGAAAGCAATAGAAGATGCCCCAAGTGCTTGGGCCCCTGCACCTGCATGGGAGACCTGGAAGAAGCACCTGGCTCCTGGCTTTGGATCGATGCAGCTTCGGCCGTTGCGGCCATTTGGGGAGTGAACCAGCAGATGGAAGACCTCTCTCTCTCTTTCTCTCTCTCTCTCTCTCTCTCTCTCTTCCTCTTCCCCTCTCTGTAACTCTGTCTTTCAAATAAATAAAATAAATCTTTAAAAAAGAAAAGAAAAGAACCCAGAGATCCTGATTCCAGTTCAAGATGCGCGTGACCGGGCAAGGCTACAGGATTTGTGGCTCTAACTACTGCTTCCCCATCATTCTGGCCTGTCCTGGACAGCACCCAGTCCCTTCTCTTTATCCGCCAGGGTTTTCTGTCTTGGATCAAACACACTCTCTTGTTTTCTTCTGACAGACTGAAATCTGATATATTTTATGTTTTGAATCCAGAGGATATGACCCTGAGTCATGGTCAGGTACATGCTGAGTTATGGTCAGGGACATGCTGAGTCATGGTCAGGTGCACACTCCTTGAGTCGTGGTCAGGTACATGCTGAGTCATGGTCAGGTGCACACTCCCTGAGTCATGGTCAGGTACATGCTGAGTCATGGTCACGTCCACACTCCCTGAGTCATGGTCAGGTACATGCTGAGTCATGGTCAGGGACATGCGGAGTCATGGTCACGTCCACACTCCCTGAGTGTACTTTTTCTTGTAGGAGAAGGGAAACTCATTCTGTCTGTTCTCAGTAGCCCACAGGGACTTCCAGGAGAGGTTCATTTAACGTCTGTGCTGGAGGGAGCAGGTTGTCCAACAGATGTGCTAAACGGCCGTAAACTAGCCATGATGTCAGAGATGTGTGTGGAGTAAAACCATTTAGGTACTTAAATTTAAATTTTTTTTTTATTTGAAAGGCAGAGGGACAAAGAGAAAGCTCTCTCCCGTCCCTGAATCCCTCCCCAAAGGCCCACAGCAGGGCTGGGCCCTCCCTGTGGGGAGCAGGGACCCAGGCACTGGAGCCATGCACGTTGGCTGGAGTCTGGAGTCAGAGCCAGGGCGGGGCTCGAACCAGGCACCCTGACCTGGGTTGTAGCCTCCCTCGCCGTGTCCAGCCACACAGCGATCACCTGCCCCTGCCCGGTCGTCCACTCTGAACTCACATGTTCCCTGATGTCTTTTAGGAAATACAAAACAAACCTGCTCAAATGAATACACACGTCACCAAAACATTTTTAAAATATAGGGTTTCATATTGTTTTGAATAATCACTTTTGAAAGCCCAAAAGCACTCAAAGTTTTTTTTTTCTTCTGTTTGCTAAAATTATGCTGCTTTTGAATAAAAACCATATATGGAATATTTGCCCCTGGTGAAGACTTTTTTTCCCCTTCTTGGCTTTAAATCACTAGAACTGTTTTGCATTCTTAACGACGGCATTCATGACTATGAATAGATTTCACATTTTTCTCGCACAGATTTGAGCTGTTTTATAGAACATTTATGTAGTATTACGTACAATTGCTCCTTCTGATGCTGATTTCTTACCTGCAAATAGACACAATTTCTAAAGAAAAAAGACTAAAATTAAACTTGGGTTTTTTCCCCATTTACTTTTATTGCATCGTTTTGGGAAGAGATATATACTTTTTTTTTTATCTGAAATGCATTTTTGTTTCTATAAAAATGTTGTCTCCTGACCCTCCGACTTCATCCATTTTGTGTCTCTTAAAAGAATCTGAGCCAGCGCCATGGCTCACTAGGCTAATCCTCCACCTTGCGGCGCCAGCACACCGGGTTCTAGTCCCGGTCGGGGCGCCGGATTCTGTCCCGGTTGCCCCTCTTCCAGGCCAGCTCTCTGCTGTGGCCCAGGAGTGCAGTGGAGGATGGCCCAAGTGCTTGGGCCCTGCACCCCATGGGAGACCAGGAGAAGCACCTGGCTCCTGCCATCGGATCAGCGCGGTACGCCGGCCACAGTGGCCATTGGAGGGTGAACCAACGGCAAAGGAAGACCTTTCTCTCTGTCTCTCTCTCACTGTCCACCCTGCCTGTCAAAAAAAAAAAAAAAAAAAGAAAAAGAAAAAACATAGAATCTGGAGTTTTTTGAGTGTGCTACTTCTGTTGATAACAGAGAACCTCGCTCGGAGCTGAAGTGAGCGTCCCGGGGCTCTGCTGGCTGCCTGCTCACAGCCTGGCATCGCGCTCCCTCCGGGAATCGTCCTTCGTTTCCCGGATTTTGCAGAAATCCAGTCTGAACGGTTTGGGATCATCGACAGTTCACAAAGGGATATGGTTTCCATCCTTCCTTCCTCCGGTTGTCTTTTTCCTGGGAGAAGATAGAGGCTCTTGTTTGTAAACAGATCTTGGGTTTGTGTGCGTGCACCTGGGGTGTGTGCAGATAAGAAGAGAACGCAGGGCGAGTTCCCGTCTGAAGCCACAGCGGGGGACTCTTCAGTCCATGCTCACGAGCGTTTTCAGAAGGTCTGTAGGGTCTCGTGAATCCACGTCTCTGTGTAAGAGCGTCAGCCTGGAGAGTTTGCTCAAAGGAATGGTCGGGCCCTGTCTTCGTGTCTCTGATTCGTGTGGGGACAAGGGCTTGGGGACCGTCACAGAGCTTCTGCTGGCTCCCAGCCTGTCACTGCCTCCAGCCCTCCTTCGACCCTTCCACTTCTTGTCCACTTGGAGGTCAGCTGCAGGGGCTCGCTCTGGCCAGGCCAGAAATCCAAACAAGTCCATTTGGGGGAGAGGTTAAAGATCAGCAGTTAGGTAAGCCATAAAACAGCCCTGGAGACATCGGCATCAGGCATGGCTGCATCTAGGGTCCCCGGAGCCCTCGCCGGGAGTCTCCCCGCCAGGCTCCGCCCCTCGACCCTGCAATCTGGCAGAGCCGGCGCCCATCAGAGGGCATGCCTTCCCCACAGGGTCTCAGGACGAGAAGAGGGAGAGGGGCCTCCCTTCTCCTGGGGGTACACGGGGGCGGCGGTGCTCTGAAGTGGCCGGGAGTGAGGGGAGCCTGGGCGCGACCCATGGGCAGGTTATGGAAGCCGAGAGCAGGTTCCAGTTCTCCGAGGCCTGGCCAAGGTGTGCCGGGGCCCAGCAGGGGTGGATCAGAAGGTCAGAACCTCTCTGTCTGTCTCTCTCTCTCTCTCACTCACTCTCTCTCTCTGTCTCTTTCTCTCATTCTCTCACTCTCTCCTCTCTCTCTCTGTCTCTCTTTCTCTCTCTCTTGCTCTCCTCTCTCTCTGTCTCTCTAGCTCTCACTCCTCTCTCTCTCTCTCTCTCTCGCTCTCCTGTCTCTGGCTCTCTCTCACTCTCTGTCTCTCTCTCTCTCTCCCTCTCTCTCGCTGTCTCTTTCTCTCATTCTCTCACTCTCTCTCTCTGTCTCTCTCCTCTCTCTCTAGCTCTCTCTCTGTCTCTGTCTCTCTGTATCTCTGTCTCTCTGTCTCTCTCTCTCTCTCCCCCTCTCTCCCTCTCCCTCTCTCTCTCCTCTCTCTCTCTCTGACTTTCAGGTCAGAAGGAGGGAGCCACAGCTGGGGAGACCTACAGGCGTGGCCTGTGTCTCGTAGCTGTCATCCGTTTCCTTTCTGGTTGTAGAGAGAACTGACCAGAGGCAGCCGTCACATCCTGTCCTTGACCGCGTGGTAGCCTGGGCTGCTCCGGCTGAGCGCTGCACATGTCAGTGTCGTCGGGTAAAGTCTGGAGTTGGCAGCCGTCAGCACCATGTGCAGGATACAGAGACTTGAGTTTCTAAGAGAAGCTGGCATCAGGTGGCTCAGATCTGGCCAGAGGAGAGGTTTTCCCAGAGTTCCTTCACGGGGCCCCCAGCATGCACCAGGCGTGGGTCAAGGACCTCGCACAGATGCAGGAGGGAGGCAGGGAGAGAGGGAGCCGCATGGAGCTGGAGGGAGCCGTGGGCTTCAGGGGCCGTTCTGTGCACCCTGCGAGGGCCGAGGCCCGGTCGCGAGAGAGCGCTCGTGGCAGCCTTCCGCCCGCGTGGGGTCCTCCCTGAGCTTTGCCAGTGTGGTGTTGAGACCCCTGACCAGACACAGGACAGGGGCTCTGCGCAGCCTGAGCAGAGTGAGGGCCTGGCAGGTGCGCACAGACACACAGGCAGGACTGCACATCTGAGCCCATGCGGGGTTCCAGCGCACCTCACTCGGGGTCACACCCCTGCTCCGTGGCAGCCCTGGCCCTCGGAGCCCCTCCAGCTCCAGCTCCCCTGCCCTGACCCTCACATAGAAGTTTCATCCTCAAATACCCACAAAGAAGTTCCTTGCCGCCAACCACACGTGGCTGAGTTTGGTGGCCCCGAGGCTGGAGCCGTCTCAACAGTGCTGGGCTTCCCCACCCCGTGTCCCTCTCTGTGTTCCGTGTATCATGCGAGGCGCGAGCGATTCCTTGCTGAGGTGGGGCGATGTGTTTACACCCGGTCCAGCTGCCGTCCGGGCTGTCACGGGGGTCCCAGATGGGAACCCAGCGCCCCTCCCCACCACTGCGCCCACCCCTTCCCAGTCACTGCAGGTGCCTTTTCAAAACCTCTCCCTGCCTGACCAATGTCAAGTGCCCTGAGGGTTAATGCATTACAAAATGTTAGGAAACTCTTCTTCGGCGAAACAGCATTTTCTGTCTGTTTATGCATGAAGCGCGCCTAAGGGGCTGTGGCTTCCGCGCGATGCCCGTCTTTGCAAAGCAGGATTTTGCGACTTCCATGAGATTCCTAAAGCTCTGTCTCCATCCAGTACGTGGTCTCTCTGGACAAAGTGAGGCAGAACACTCCGTGCCCTTTTCCACCTAGTGTCCAGAGCTCAGATACATTCCACTATCTGGAACGTTGTGTGCTCTCTTTTGAAAACGGTTCTCTTTGAGACGTTGGAGGGATTGGTTTTTGTGGGGAGCAATCCGGACTAGACTGTTACTCGAATTAAGACTTATTCTATGCATCTGCTCTCCCACAATATGGCGCTGGGAGAGAAGTAAACAGCTTCCGCACAGCTGCCTCCAGTTCAACTAATAAACTGTAGGACTTGCTCCTGATTGGAGGAGAGCAGCGTACTCGGCGTGTGGGCAGCCGAGTTGGGATTGGCGGAGGAGGACTATAAAGGAGGAGAGAGACGGCATGCACGAGGAACATCTATGGGGAACATCTAGCTGAAGGAACACCTGTGCAGCCCCCCAGAAAGCCGGCCGGCGGTGTGCCGCTCCCCTGCGGAAGTGGGGAATGTGGCCAGGGGGAACTGCCCTTCCACGGAGGTGGAAGGGATAGTAGCCAACCCGGGAAGAACCAGCAGCAAACCCGGGGAGGGCCGAGCAGACGAAAGAACAGCGCAGGGTCCTGTGTTGCTCCTCCACGAAGAGGGGGAGCGACAGTTTTCAAAGCAGTGCTCAATCTTTCAACAAGAAGTTTGGATTTTTTTTTTCACTAAAAACAACCTGTTTTTAGAAACTGTGCATGCTCGCAAAACTCTTCAGTGATGAGCGAATAAGTCTCCAATGGCTGCTAGAGAAAGGTACCAGAGTCCCTCATTCTGGTCTTAGGAACAAACCTAAGTCCAGTTTTGTGTTAAAAAAAAAAAAAAAACAAATCGGCTGTAGCGCGCTGGCCACGGTGGCCATTGGAGGGTGAACCAACGGCAAAGGAAGACCTTTCTCTCTGTCTCTCTCTCACTGTCCACTCTGCCTGTCAAAAAATTAAAAAAAATAAAAATAAAAAAATGATAAAAAAAAAAAAAAAACACAAATCCTTGGACAGCTACCGGCTGTTATCTGAGTTATCCAGAATGGTGCCTGCTGGGGGCGGTAACCACAGATCCTGGGCCCTAGGAGCAGCTGTCAGATTTGGGATCGGTGAGCCGTGGCTCAGCTTGCCCACGGCTGGCCCTTCATCCCTCCTCCGACGCGGGCGGGCTGGCCGTGGGGCTGTCTGGGGCGCTCTGGGGCTGATGGGCTACAGCTGCTCTGAGAAGCCTGCCTTCCTGGAGCAGTGGGGCTGCACATGCCTGCACCCAGGGTCCCGCAGCAGGGGAGGCAGAGCCGGGCGAGGGTGGGTCGCGCTCCCGGACGGAAGAACGTCGTCTGTGGTTGTGTCGGTGTGGAGTCTCGGCCTGGGCTTTCTGGAGCTCTGTGACTCCCGCCCCAGAAAGTCGTAAAAACATCTGCGGTGACACAGGCCACCGTGCGTGGCGCCAGATGCGTGTCATCTAACTCCTCGAGCTAGTTTTTATCTCACCCTGGACTTAGGGACAAAATAATGCACACGGCGCGTGCATAGCTAGTTTATAGAGCTGAGCCACGATGGTCACAAGGCACCTGAGCCACTCTGGTTTCCAGGGCTGATTTTATTCCCAACACTGGAGCAGAAGGAAGCCCTGCACACTGGAATTCTGCCGTCTCCTGGCCGGATCACCAGCTTTTCATGAAACACATTGTTATCTGATTACAGAGGAAAATTGCACGTGTACCAAACATTTTCCCCTTATCATGGTTCCATAAGCAATAGCATGAAGACCAGTAACGAGGCCCTTATGCATTTTGGTTTTGGTTTTAGTTCTGAGAAATCTTTGCGTGACCCAAAAGCAGAAAGGTTTTCCTTTGTCTTTCCTTCTAGAGGTTCTATAGTTTTAGATTTTACATTTGGGATGATGACACATATAGATTAGTTTTTTTATTATGTTGATCTCTCTCTCTCTCTCTCTCTCTCTCTTTCAAAAGCTGAGCAATATAGAGAGACAGAGCTTTCTCCCCTCTACTGGTCTGTTCCCCAAATGCCCACAGTAGCCAGGTCTGTGCCAGACTGGAGCTCCATCCAGGGCTCCCCGGTGGGTGCCAGTGGCCCATGCACTTGGCCATCATCTGCTGCTTTCCCAGGCACATTCGCGGCTGCATCAGAGGCAGAGCAGCTGGGCCGTGAACCAGCACTCTGATGTGGGACGCGGGCAGCACACGTGGTGGCTTCCCCCGATGCCCCACACCAACCCTGTTAGCGTTCCTAATCCGGTACAAGATTCCAGCTGAAGTTTGTTTTTGCTTTTTTTGCATATGGAATATCTGGTCCACAACCACTTGTTGAAAATTCCTGTGCTTCCCAGAGAATTCCCTTTGTGCCTTGTTGTAAGTCAGGGTGAGTCTAAAGACTCTCTGTTCTGGTTATTGATCTGTTGATATCTTTCTGCCGATTCCAGGAGGTCAGGGAATCAGTCTTCTGTTTTGTGTGTGGTTTTTTGTCAAAGTTGCTATTCTAGGTCTTTTCCATTTAGCAAGTGTGTAAAATCATCTTGTCTGTTTCTACAACAACACGTTGTGAGGGTTGGTAGAATAAAGGCTGCTTCCAACAGTTTGTTGGAAGTTGGAACTAACAGATGCTTGTTTTGGGACAAGGCATTTTGAGGTCTGGGGTGGATGTTGTGGTACAGTGCGTTAGACTGCGCCTGGGGACTCACAACCCCACCTTGAGCTCTGGTTCAAGTTCCAGCTACTCAGGGAGAGTGTTATTTGTTTATTTTTGACAGGTAGAGTACAGACAGAGAGACAGAGAGAAAGTTCTTCCATCTGATGGTTCACCCCCAAAGTGGCCTCTACGGCCAGCGTGCTACACCAATCCAGAGCCAGGAGCCAGGTGCTTCTCCTGGTCTCCCATGGGGTGCAGGGCCCAAGCACTTGGGCCATCCTCCACTGCCTTCCCGGGCCACAGCAGAGAGCTGGTCTGGAAGTGGAGCAACCGGGACCAGAACCCATATGGCATGCCGGCACTGCAGGCAGAGGATTAGCCTAGTGAGCCGCGGCGCCGGCCCCAAGCTACTCAGATTCTGATCAGGTTCCTATTAATGCAATGGGAGGCAGTGATGATGACCCAAGTACCTGGGCCCCTGCCACCTACGAAGGAGACCTGGATGGAGTTCCTGGCTCTGTGGCTTCAACCCTGCTCTGTCTGTTGTGGGCATTTGAGGAGTCAATCAACAGGTAGACAATCTCTCTCTGTGTCTCTCCCTCTCTCTGCCATTCCATCTTTCAAATAAATAAATAAATCTTTATTTTAAGAAAAATTGAGAACCATGTATATTCACAATATATGTTTTTCCGTGAACTTTTTGAAGACTCTGTGCAAAGAGTTACAAATATTTTGCCCCAAAGCAAGCATAGCTTTGCATTCCATTTTCCACAATCTTTTTAAAGTACCCTCTACATCAACTTGGGGGAAGCTGAGATCTTAACAATATTAACTCTTCCAACTTCAGAACGTGATCTATATCACTCCATTTATTTAGAAATTTAACTTTCTTAAGTAGTGTTTAATAGTTTTCAGAGTGTATCTACTGCACATCATTTGTGAAATTTATTCTTAAGTATTTTAAAGCTTTTCAATTTTTTCAGTTTTGCTGATTTTTTAAAGATGTTTTTATTTGAGAGGCAGAGTTACAGACAGAGAAAAGGAGAAATGGAGAGGACTTCCATTCGCTGGTTCACTCCCCAAATGGCCACAATGGCTGGGGCTGGGCCAGGCTGAAGCCAGGAGCCAGGAGCTTCATCCAGGTCGCCCATGGGTGCAGGGCCCAAGCACTCGGGCCATCTTCCACTGTTTTCCCAGGCCATAGCAGAGAGCTGGATCAGAAGTGGAGCAGCTGGGACTGAAAACAGTGCCCACTGTGTTGTCAGCACTGAAGGCAAAGGCTTAGCATACTACACCACAGCCTCAGCCCCAAACTTGCTGATTTTTTTAAAAACTAACGTATTGTTACTATTAATTATAGTAAACCCATCTGCTGGTTTACTCCCCAAGTGCTACAAGAGCCAGCACTGAGCAAGCTGGGAGCCCGGTCTCCCACGGGGGTGGCAGGGACCCAAGTACCTGAGCCTTGGCCGGCCGCCTTAGGGGTTAGCATTAGCAGGAAGCTGGAGTCAGGAGCCGGAGCCGGGAATCGAACCTGGTTCCTCGGATGTGGAACATGACTGATGCCTGCCCCCAGTATTCCCAAATGTTGCTGCTCGTGCCAATGGTATTCTTCTCCTGCTTTCGATTTCCGGTTGGAAAGTGGGTATTTAACCACGAGTGCCGGGTTCCCACAGAGAGCAGTAGCGCAGGGTTTTGCTGTTCTGTTTTGGCCCCTCTCTCTCTCTCTCTCTCTCTCTCTCTCTCTCAGAAGGTCTGCAAATGGATTTTCCTCCCCACTTTCCAACCTCAATCCCGAGAGTCCTGCAAGGAGGCTGGAAACGCAGCCGTGCGCCCGTGAGGCATCACCGCACTTCTTTCTCTTTAGCCAGAGCAGCTCAGCACGCTGCGTGCATCAGGCCCAGAAGTCCCCGGTGTGGCTGAGGACAGGAGTGTGTGACCGGCCGAGTGGCTCCTGCCATGCACACTCCAACATTTGCACCTCCTGACTTTGCTGTGGCCACCATTGAAATACCAAAGTCACATTCCCCAAAGGTCGCGGATTTGATAGCATTGATTACCAAGCCCCTCTACATCTCTCAGTTCTTATCTGAGAATGCAGCTGGCCTATTTGCACCTTCTGCGCACACATCGCTTTGAGATTCCTGTTTCTCAGCTTTGCACACGCGTGTGGGCTTACCTGGAACACGGAGCCGTTGTGAGGAGTGGATGAGCCGAGTGTCCCCACCCTCTCCTGCTTTAAATCAGCTGGGTCAGATCTCATTCTGCTCCATACAACTCTGGCAAACTCCCTGGGCATAAAATATCTTAAAAACAGTGAGTCGTTAGCACTTCTAAGATGATTTGCCTTTCAAAAGACCAAGGGATTTCCTCCCTTTGGAGGGAAAGGCAGAGAGGGGCTGGGGAGCCTTCCTTATCCCCCCCAGTCCTGACCTCCCTGTGCCCTTTGGAAGCCCTGGTCCAACTTTTGCCCCTGTCCATACGAAGGAAGGCCCCTGCCTCGTGAAATATGTCACACACAAGACTCTCTACACTGCAAAGTGCGCAACGGAGAATTGTGGATTTGGGTTGCTGAGGGTGTGCAACACAACACAAGAGGAGTTTCATGTCTACTCCCCAGCCACATAAACAAGAAAGAAATCCTGCCTTCCCCAACAACACGGATGCCACTGGAGACCATTGAGCTTAGTGGAATAAGCCAGTCCCATAGAGACAGACACCTGCGTCTTCCCTGGTGTGTGGTACCTGACATACAGGTACTAACGTGTGGATGAGCCCAGCGGGCACTTTGAGCTCTGATTCTTGCTGATGGCCGTTGAGGAGCAATGCTGTTTCTGCTTACTGCTCATGGACTTCTTGCTTAGTGGAGGGCTAAGCTTGTGACTAGCAAGTAAATTGAAAGTATGTTGGGGCTGGCACTGTGGCGCAGTGGGTTAAAGCCCTGGCCTGCAGCACCGGCATCCCAAATGGTTGCCGGTTCTAGTCCTGGCTGCTCCTCTTCCGATCCAATGCTCTGCTATGGCTTGGGAAAGCAGTAAAAGATGGCCCAAGTCCTTGGGCCCCTGCACCCACATGGAAGACCTGGAAGAAGCTCCTGGCTCCCGGCTTTGGATTGGTCCAGCTCTGGCCACGTGACTCAGTGGCAGTGCAGAGGTGCACACTGGCTGACCTTGGGGTGGTGCACACACAGGGTGGCCT